GAATTAAATTATTTAACATTCTTTCAAAAGTTCAGGACATCCAGGACATGGGTTATAAGCTGGATCAAAAAAAGTTCAATTACGTTAAGAACGGACTAATTTACAAGCCTCTAAAGATAGGCATTTCAAGCAGCAACCTGGCAAATTTTGCAACTTCTAGGGGGTGTAACTTGGCGGAGACTTTACTTTCCCAAGTTTTTATAACGGCTTTCTTTCTGCTGGCCTAAACTCTACTAACCAGTAAAAAATAAAGAAATTCTGAGAGAGTAATGTTCAGAGGTGTGCGATTTGGCATGGAATGGCCTACATATACGCATATAAAGGAAAAGTATTGTAATTTGATTCTGAATTGCCACGCGGGACTTCCGGGTAGAAACAGAATATTTCATTTCTCCGTAGCACACGATACGTATATACTTCAACGTTGGGTAATTAGACCCATAAAAAACAGTAAGCATCAAAAACAAAGAGTAGCAACAATTAATAACAAAAACGTCGATAAATGAAAGAATTCAAAAAGCTGTGTTCGCAGAAAAAGAAGGCCATTTCTAATCAACAAGATCCGCAAAAATATTGCTCTCCCTTCATCTGCTTCTTTACATAGTTTACTTCTGTAGCTTCTCTTGTTATCTTGTATCATCTGGATCCTCTCTCAAAGCTGCTGGAGATTCTTCTTTCTCGTCGGGTTTGGAACTGTCAAGGCTTGATCTTTGACTTTTTGCTTATCCTTCTGCTAAGCCGTAACAGCTGCTCCCGGGGTATTCACCGTTATCTTATCGTCTTCGCCTTTCGGCAACAATATCGTTTTGAAGGAACACTAGAATTGACAGCGATTTAGCAACACGAGAAAGGCAAGAATGATCCGGCTCCACTTCAGGATTTTCTTATATGCTGCCGTTGATGAGCTCCAGCTGTCAAGATTAAGATGAAATCTAGCCACCTGAATCCAAGTGATCCGTCAATTATTTGACAGTTTATGTAACAGTCACTGGAATAAGCAACGACAAGTTGCGTTTGTCAATGCTTCCATATTTACGGTAGTAAATGGCCCGGAGATCAAAGGTTAGATCAGTGATCAGCAGTATTTAATTCACTTTGACAAATGATGATCCCAGCTAGACTAAATTATGGTGATCTTTATCGTGGTCGTTAAACGATGTTAGATGATTATATCTACAGCTGGTTTTTCTCTGTCTTTCTTCTAGCCTTTCAACGACAAATCTGCCCTTTTGTCAGGAGTGGCTTCTGTTGAGTTCTTTTAGGGTTTCCCTGAATACGTACACGAAACAAAAGTTAAAAAGCACTTAAGCCCGGAAATCCATCTGTGGTGTAGCTTTATTCTTCAACCACCTCGATATAATATCGTTTCTGGCCTTTGGTTCGTTTCAGTTCGATAATTCCTATTCCAAAAGTTCCTCGTAAAGAACTCTATTCCATAATAATCATATTTTAAGGCTTGTCAAGGTGAGACTCCATGCTTTCAGTTATCTGAGTACTGAAACAGTTTCAAAAAAGCAGTGAGTGCTGAAGAATATCTACAAAAATCGGTATTCCAAAAAGATTAACCCACCCAGAGAGCGGAAGCAGTTTCGGAAAATGCACTAAAGTTCCCCAGATGTTACCAATCAAGCAGCAAAGTAAAAGTCCTCACTTTCGCTCGGAACCAGCAGCTACACATACGTTCAAAGGAAAGGTTTAGTAATGACTTTAACGAAACCATTTTCTCTCCCAAATGGCGAAAGGCGGCGACTGCAAAGAATTTAACGATTAACATATCAAAAGCTAGAAAAAATATGCAGGAGAGTAAATGTGCATTCGAGTGTTTTTCCCGTTGTGCTCAAAAATATTTGCTTCATACAGCAGATGAAAAAGTGTGGATAAATATGGTCAGTTGTCTAATCAAATGCCTTTATCCCGATGAAGTCTATTAGTGGACATTGTTGCTTGTAGGTCAGTTATACGTAATACAGTTAAATGATTACTGCAACGGTTACAGTGTTTACTGAAAACATCAAACACAGAGTGAGGTGCTGCTTAAATACATGAAAGCAATTAGCGATTCAACGGAGGTTACCTCATAATGGCCCCGCCTGCCGTTTGCAACCGCCTCTGTTCTGTTTTTGTTCTCGCAGTTTGGAGAACGCAGCAGACAAGTGTTCCATACACCTGACGCGGTACCATGTAAATAAAAATGGTGGGAATTTCCCTCAAAGTCAAACGTCGGATTGCATGAAGAATTTACACGAATTTATACGTAATTTATATTAAGAGAGGTTATCGCAGCATCTTTTTGGTTAAATACGTAAAACATTTTCCAATAAGGAACATGAAAGAAAGAAACGTAAAATCTTTCGCAATCTTCCACAGGATGAAAGCCATTTGATAACGAGTTAATGTGAATCCAGTCCCAAAGGATCCCTGCTTTTAGGATGATGACTCCAGAACGAAGTTCCCGTTCTTCATTCAATATTCACATTCACTGACTCACTCTGCTGCCTGTCCTCTCGCAGTTTGCAAAGCTCTTCACAGTATTAAATTCAACTGCTTAAAGGGCCTCAGAGCGTCATTCCTTCATCAACACTCCACAACGTTGCAGTACCGAACATGCACCTCTTCAAATCTTTTGTAGGAATAAGCGACTCACAAAATACATAATTACTACTGAGCTCTGGACAGCCCAGGTTCAAAAAAAATGCATGGCATAGCTCAAAGCACCAAAACTAGAACCAGAAAGTGTAAAACCACCAAAGCAAACGACAGCCCTGTTCCAAAAAGCTTCTTATTAGTCTTAGTGCAGATTCCACAGGGATCAAAAATAAGACCACGCTCCAGCACGCTACACCACCTTGCTCTAGCAGTTTAACTTACATTGAAGAAACTAAAGCAGTATGAAAACCGAACAACTTTTGATAAAGTTGGTTTGGTTCGCATGAATCCTGCTGAGCTTACCTTCAACACTAACTTACTGAAAAACCAAACCTGCCACCACCTTTGAGCTACAGAGAAAACTGATCCCCACTGACCTGCAAAACCTTATGCCCAATCCGTACTGAACTCCCAGTACCACTCAGCTCCGAGCTAATCTGAACTCTACTCGGCCCAAGCGACTTCCCAACACGAACCTCAGCCCGCGCTCGACTCAACCCTCACCGCCTCTTTTGCTATAATCAAAGAAACGCCAAAGTAACAACAGGAAACCATAAACTGCAACGGAAATATTTTGTTCAGCACCGTATTTATTAACATTAAAAATAATATTAGCTATCGGCCACACAAAAAATCAAAATGGTGAGTATTGTTAATAAACAACGTAATGACTCAAAGAAAAAAACCATCAATATACATAGTATGCCCAAGATTTTGGGACTCCACAATCTACTTGGTGCTATAACAGTAGCCAGAATTATTTCGACTTCAGAGCTGCTATTGAAAAATTTCCGCTCAAGAACAGACAAATCACTGTTGGAAATTTCCGACCCTCCTCCCCCCACTATGAACTTTCATTATTCACGACAACGAAGACGAAATCCTTACAACTACTTCCAATGAAATATGGAAAATACAAGTAAAAAACTGGTACCACGAAAACAGCAAATACGTCATATCGGGAATTATAAAAATGTTTTACATCCTCCGCTACACTTTCCAAGACGACACAACGGTCACATTATTTAAAGCACAAAATCGACTACTTCTGCAAATTCTCTGAAATACTTAGCTTTTAGCTTTGACAAACCTCAACCGTACTCATCAAAAAAGAACACGACATAATTCATTAACAGTCAAATTCAGTGACAATTACCAATTCCTACGGAACTTTAATTACAATTCATTAAAAAATTTATTTGACTGCAAACGAGTGCTGACAGCTGTTACTTTACCTCAAGTTCATGATGCTTATTCGCAATCTGCAAAGTCAACCCGCATGACAAAAGAAAAACAAATAACTATCATATATGATCGAAGCGTGGAAGAAGCACTTGTGGACGGTACACGCTAAATCTTTGGAATGCAGAACACTAAATCAAGTTATATTCAATGGAAAATTTGCTTATATGCTTCTTACTTTGCCCAAAAAGAAATTTTTTTCAGTAACAAAGTGTAATGATCGATCCAGGATATGCCTTCTCTAAAAGTTCTTTCAGGGCTTTTGCATCGATGTAAGAAAATAACATATTCGATTCCACAGTTATTTTTAAGGAAGGGACATTTCGTAATTTTTTCTCACAACCTCTATTCAAACACCCTTCTAACGTTATTTGCTCGCATACCTGCAAGAAGACAATTTTCTCAAAACCCTCTTTCACTGCGATAAAACTTCCTCCTCTACAATAAAACTGTTTACCAATCAGTAACAAACTTCTAAATCTGAACTGTTTTAGCTGCCACAAAACTAACTTGGGAAGGACCGGGTCCAATCATTTCCATTTCTGATTCTCTTCGTTCCATGTCGTTTGGATTTTTCCCTGCTTTCTCATCCTTTTGTAAAGTCTCGTAAATAAGGTGGTGGCAGTCTGAAAAAGAAGTTGGGGAAAAGTCTGAAAGAAAAACTGCGAGCTGAATTAAAATTATTGCTCACAGACGTCAGACTATACAAACCAGCAAGAATCACAATACAAAATAATATAAAAAACAAGAAGCTTAAAAGATTAAAAAACCATACGTTTTAAATGATCCCAGAACTGTTTTGTAGATCCAGAACCTTTTTTCCTCCGTAACTGCTTCTTACAGCCTTTTATTTCGCAAACTGCACCATACTCATTTTTTTGGAAATAATTCCAAACGACTGAGCGTCCCATCTAGTGCTAAATTTGCTAAACAACAACCAGTATCTGAAAAACAGTCCTATTTCAAATGCAAAGAAAGCAAAGCTTCCGAAGTGCACGTCGAGATGACCACAGAAACGACAGAATTTAGACCGCTATTTTTCAAATATGGCTTTATAAAAACTAGCACAGAGTCTAAACCTACAAAAAAATTTGAAATTTCCAAAATACCAGTGAGTAACATTAACCATCACTTCTGTATTAGCAGTACTCGAAAGTTCCAAGGAACAAGATTCTTCAGCTCAATGCAATCAAGTCAGTGGTAAACAATAATATGACTGTAAATATACCAGAAACAACTCCGGTTATTTTACGAAATTAGTGATCAGTCACCTGCTACCAATTTCTTCAGAAACCTTACCCACCGGAAATGGAAGGATCAGCCCAAACAAAGCGCTAGCCAGTAGTACCTTGCATGAGCTAGCAGCAATCGAGCTACACACATCTACTCTACCTACCGACATGCAGCATGACCAAAATGACCTTCTAAACTAATCGTTTTATAAGTATGACCGTTCAAGAGTCGACAAGTTTGCGCAGGAAGCTACAGTGGCTCAGAAGTTGAAAACTGCATTTCATGAAGAAATAGAAAGAATGCATTCAGGCTGCTGTACACTGTCAAACCAGTAACGAATGTGATGCATAAATAATTTAACTGATGTTATGAAGCAGCAGATGGCTACGCGCGAGGAGGATCGGAACACTTAGGCGGTGCTGTATCAAATTGCTTCATTTACCCAATCTCCGGGTGACCAAAAGCTACTGATGTGTGCTTTGCAGACACAAAAACAGCTCAAATTTTGCAATAGCGTCCCTCATCAGAAAGACTCCCCAAAAACTCGACTGCACCGAGAAGTCCATTCGCAATTCAAGAGCTTTTTCAGGAATCCGTTTTCTCGAGAAGAGCTGAGGCAGGATAGAATTCAGAGATTTGGGACCATAGATGGTAGAGCTGATCCTCCTCAAACAGCTTCTTCCACATAAACTGTGGAAGTTAGCTGCTCATCAGTCTGTAAAGTCCCATACCGCTCCTTAAATTTTTACCAAAAAGACTCAATGGTGTTTGTGCAGACACCGCTGGAAGGATCAATAAAGTTCAGCTTATGATTTACCGTAAGATGCTGGTACTCTTCAGGCAGGTTTTGAATGCAGTTAAAAGCTGCTAACTTATCCGATATAATAGTAACCCCGAGAGGATATACTGCCGGACAAGCGGCACAAGGGTAGCAGCA